GTTAAAGCCAGTATTCTGAGATAATTCTGACATAAAAGCCAGAATTCTGAGGTCAAAGCCAGAATACTGAGGTTAAAGCCAGTATTCTGAGGTTAAAGCCAGTATTCTGAGGTTAAAGCCAGTATTCTGAGATAATTCTGACATAAAAGCCAGAATTCTGAGGTCAAAGCCAGAATTCTGAGTTATTCTGACATAAAAGCCAGAATTCTGAGGTCAAAGCCAGAATTCTGAGGTCAAAGCCAGAATTCTGAGGTCAAAGCCAGAATTCTGAGGTCAAAGCCAGAATTCTGAGGTGAAAGCCAGAATTCTGAGGTCAAAGCCAGTATTCTGAGGTCAAAGCCAGTATTCTGAGGTTAAAGCCAGTATTCTGAGGTTAAAGCCAGTATTCTGAGATAATTCTGACATAAAAGCCAGAATTCTGAGGTTAAAGCCAGAATTCTGAGATAAAAGTCAGAATTCTGAGATTAAAGCCAGTATTCTGAGTTATTCTGACATAAAAATCAGAATACTGAGGTTAAAGCCAGTATTCTGAGGTTAAAGCCAGAATTCTGAGGTTAAAGCCAGAATTCTGAGGTTAAAGCCAGAATTCTGAGGTTAAAGCCAGAATTCTGAGGTTAAAGCCAGTATTCTGAGATAATTCTGACATAAAAGTCAGAATTCTGAGATAATTCTGACTTAAAAGTCAGAATTCGTACAGACAAGATCACAATGCTACACCAGCGAACCAAAAAAATATGTCTGATAAACTGTCATCTGCTTTGTTGTCTAACCACAACTTTTTAGGGGGCGCACTAAGACTCCCATAAAGAAGTCTAGGCCACTTGGTTTACTTAATGATTGCTCCAACTCCTGAGTTTTTGAGCAGTCAGAGCATCAATAGTTGCCAAATGATGTCAAGTGATAGACCCAGAAATGAATTTAATATACAGTAAATTAAGCTAATACTTTGGTCAGAACACACGTAATGCTTCTTTAATCCATTGAAAAAGCTTTCTGTCTAAGGAAATCCAGCCGACGGTATCAAATAACAGACGTAATAATCAAATGAAGATTAAGAATAGATGCTTACATACATAAATGAGAATACATCTTCTGCTCATTCTATTCATTATTAATTTTTTCATATATTGACCGTATTAAAATATCAAAACAGAAATCTGAATATGTATTTCAGAGATTGTGCAATGAAACACATTTTTACTTGAGGCTTGAAAACATTTCCGTTACCTGACTTAAATAATAAATTGCAATTCTATCAGTTTTTTTCTACAGTTTAAAGTTAGGTATTAGAAAAGCTCAATGGCAGTGGCAAAATTCACCAAAGATTTCTCAGCTTCGCAAAAATGTTTTTACACTTATTTGAGCTGTTTTTTGCAAAAAAGGGTTAATTTGCAAAACTTTTGACTCACATAACTGATCAGCTGTTCCCTTCTGTCGTTATCTTCCCGGATGTTCCTGTTATGTGTGTAAGCCTGGCTACAAGAAACTAGCTGACTTGTTAATGTAAGAAAAACTTGCCCAATAGCAACACAGTCATCAAAACTTACCTCCAATACTGATGTGAGGTCAGTGCTAGTTTGCAGCCTCTACTTCCTGTTTGCTTGACGACGTGATGTCTACGACAGTACGCTTTGTGTTTATTAGTTAAATTTCTATCAAACTAAATGGAAACACCATTATTTGCATTTCCTTTCTGTCCAATTTAAAAAAGTTTCCTGAAAATGAGCATTTTTGTTGGATAGATTCAATTCAAAAATACTTTACTAATCCCAAAGGGAAATTCCATATAAAATAGGATGATTATATGAATCACACAATAATAAGACATTTTAAACCTTTCAATAAAGCAAATAGAAAACCTTTATTTTTTATTTTTATAATTATTAAAAAAAAGTAACATTGTACAGATGATGGAGGGAGCAGCAGGGTATGCGCTACACATGATCTCAAGGTATAGCTGCTGAATGCACTGAATAATTGACAGACGAATGAACAGATTGATCACTACCAATACCAGAAATGCCAATACCACTAATGTCATTCTGGACTGGTAATTAGTCCATCACTTAAAAAAGAGGCTCACAGGACAGACAACCATTCATACAAAAACTCCCAGAACTTTTTGGAATCTAGATTGACTAATTAACTAAACATGCAAATTTTTGTACTGTGGGAATTGTAGAAAGAAAAAAAACATAACGTGAGCTGCATTCTTCCATGATACCCTAAGACCAAGAACGGAGTGTGAACCATTCGTTCACCTTGCGGCTTGTTTGTATTTCAGTTCCTTTTACTCTGTTTTTATCTTGTTTTCTCTCCTTTATATGTCATCATTTTAAGGTCGGTTTATATCCTCTGAATGTTTCTGGTATCGGTTAATTATAAAACTCTTAACACAAGCTCCGATGTAGAAGCCATTCCTCTCTCCGTGTACGCCATTTACTCTTTAGGGCTTTTTACGCTGTCACTTGTGTTTAGAAATGAAGGATTACTCACTGCAATGCATGCTACACATTGTTGTCCTCCTCCATCTGTCTGCTTGTTAAGCCAAAGGTGACTGGCTGTGGCTTTCTTCAGCATAACAAGGTAATGTTCATGCATGGAAAGATAGACACAGCTGTGGGTTAAGTGCTAAAAATACAGAAAGGGCACCAACATAGTCACTGTTTTCAGTGGCACTCGACCCTCCCTTTGCTCTGTTAAGTAAAGCAGTACATCATAAATTATTTATACGGAATATGGAAATCTTGAAACAGCTGATGGAGGCAGTGAGAAGGCCGGGGGATCAGCTGCTGCTCAATGAATGAGGAGGGTGAGGGGCTTGGCAGTATGATGTCAGCGAGCCAGGCAGCTACTATCACCACACTGGGGGATGGGGCTGTGCTGACTGGTCTCTCTTTCTCACTCCCCATTACTTCCCTTTTTTGAGTCCCGTGCCTGCTGCTCATACCGTTTCCTCGCTTTCTTTCAGTTGTGTTGATTTAAAGCATGTTCCAGTTTCCCTGCTTCTTTTCTAGAATCGTAACCCATAAATTCTCACAACGAACATGTACCAACTGATCTGCTCTACATCTATCCACTCCTACATTCACAATCTTTTGAAGCTAAACACTGTCAGTTGGAACCAATAGTGTGTAACTATACTAAATACAAAAAAACCATGTTGGTACTCGGAATGCAGCAGCAGGGGAACGGATGGATCCTCAGAGGTGCTGCTTTATGTAACACTCTCAAAGCATGTGAATGTGGGTGGATTAAACATGGAAACACTGGAAAGTGCCTCAGGCTTGTTTGGAGTAGTTACGCCTGCTTTTCAGTTGCATGCATCACAGTATTGATGAGGCGAATAGATTGTGGTTGGCTTTTGTTGCCAGCTTCTGTGTTGATCTTAGCGAGGTACCTTCAGTCTTAAGGTTTTTTACCCACACCGAAAGCTGTAGAAATTTTTTGTTCCTGGTTTGGAGCGGTCATTAATGTCAAAATATTATGTTTCAACATTTGCATAGCTTTTTGCTTCCTTGTTCATGTGGGCCGTGTTCGCATGAAGGCATGGTTTTGGGAAATGCATCCAGCAAGATGCTGTTTTTTTTTATTGTTTTCTGAACTTCACTTTAATTAGGGGATATATCATCATTGTAATATAGTTTGTCTAATATGCAAATCTCAAAGGACTGTTTGAATTGCATTAATTGCTGGGTAATGTATTCTAGATGTTGTCAACTTGTATTTTACATCTTAATGTAATATTAACCTGTTGGACACATTCTTACAGCAACAGGTGCTCACATCAGACATAAGCATTACCCAAAACGATAATGAGTAATGCAAGAGATAAAAAGAGAGGAAAGAAGACAGCAGGGAGATATTGCGCCTGATGTGGACTCTGCAGCATTTGCAAATATTATCCATATTGCAAGACTTGCAGAACTAATTTCAACTCAGTTTATTTAAGTCTGATTTTTGTCACTGTAAGAAATTTTATGTTATCTTAAAGGTATAATGGAGGATTTTCGCAAAGTTTTGAAACTTAAAAAAAAAAAAAAATGCACATGCATAAACCTGTACCCGCTCCGGAAAGGATACGACTATTAAACCAGTACGAGAGCGTGCACAAGCCCATTTCTCCTCGTGCACGCTCCGTTTAAAAGTTGCTGTTTGCATCGCACATACAAGCTTACTTTACAAGAAATGATTTGCAAATTTTTTTTGCACTATGTCAGACTCGCCTCTGGTAAGTGAAAATGGGGACGAGCATGTAGGACGGCCTTATGTAAACATATCATCCGAATGATTGACAATTATGACGACCACTTATTTTGATGATCAACCCGGGGAAAAAAAATCCTCCACTATAACTTTAAACAGCCTCCATGACAGCTAATGTCTGTAATCTCGTTGAAGCTTGAATATTTGCAAAATAATAAGGGCTTAGAACAGCGCTTTTTGTCTTTGACCCCCATGTATAGGTACATTTAAAGGGTAAAAAGTCTCGCGTGGATTCACGCTCAAATTTATGCTTGACTGACACTTGAAGGAGTTACATTTGATCACTCATTGATGTTGATTTGGTAGCAGGGATAGACATTTCTGCAAAATGCACAGTTTAGAATCCATAAATGGTCAGTGACTGTAAAAACGCTGGGGGGTTGGAGTTATCCAGCAGTTACTTAGGAGAGCATGCCCCCAGAGCCCCTGCTGGATCTCATTGAGACCACCTGTATCAATAAAGGTGAAAATAAAAAGGAGGGGTTGAATCCTTACTTACAACGTGCATTTATAAAAACTACAAACTTATAGTGTACTTTAAGCCTCCCCCTTATCTTCTTTTGTAAGCAAATTTTAGTCTTTACAGTTAAAAATTTGGTGTCAACTTCCTTAATATTGGCATTTAGTTTCCTAAACAATGTTGAAATATCAGTTGAAATTTCTCCAATATCACTCTGTAACTTTGTGGAAAATTTTGCCTGTCACATTGGACACACTTTGCATCACATTGCAGTTATATGACACTGATGTGACCTTTGATGAATCCTAAAGAATCAAATCTGTTAGTTTATATTTGCACCTTTGTCAAAAGCATCTGAAATACATTTTAGTTGTTAAGTCAATTATGTTCTCTCTGTGTATATGAGAGACAAAGAGGTGGAGCTCAGGTTTAGTTCTTATGGTGCATTAAAACAGGTATGATTTAAAAAGGCCTGATGCTGTTGACCATTGGGCTGTAAATTATCAGCAGGTTTGTCACTTCTACACATTTCCCTCTATGCCATGCATGACAGAGCCTGACAGGCCAACAATCAATTGTGTTTGCCTCATGTGGCGTGCAGAACACTGCATGGTGATTGGAGGGGTTTTGTAATGATAACAGGCTGAGAGATAGAGGCAGAGAGAGGAGATGACGAGTTACCTTTGTTGTGACAAGCTTCCATCCTCACAGCCTATCATACATGATGGACATGACTGAACACGTAGGACTTTTGCAGTTTATGATATCTTCATTTTGCTCTATAGATCTCTAATAGAACATTTGATTTTTTTTCTTATCTTATATCTCTGTTTTAGTTTTCTTGCATGAAATTAGTTGATATTTCCATTGTTTTCCAGTGAAAGGTTTCAGGTCTCAGCCCCCCCACCCCACTCCAACCAAGCCCCACTACTGCAACCCTTTTTTCCCTGACTTGTATTTATACCAGCTGCACTTAAGTTGAAAGGGCTCCTGTTGCTGTAGCACAGCAAAAATGCTAATTACAGGTTTTAAAAAGAAGCAAGCTTTTTTTTCGCCTTGTTTTATTGCTAGATATTTTTATGTGTGTGTGTAAAAAAAAAATAAGTCCTGAAAAGTAGATTTTCATGTTTACATGCATCTTTCTGTCTTTTATTTATCCCTTAATTTTATTAGATTTGAACTTATTCATGCTTAACATTCTGTTGTCATTCGTGCCTCATAATGTGCATTAACAGAAATCTATCTTCTATCTATCTTTTCTTTCAGCAGCGGAACCTAGAGGGGTATGTGGGCTTCGCCAATCTCCCAAACCAGGTCTATCGGAAGTCTGTCAAGAGAGGGTTTGAGTTTACGTTAATGGTTGTTGGTAAGTTGGAAACATCTGCATTAAACCACAAGTTTGACATGAAAAAGTTTTTTGTTTTTGCTGAATGCAAAGAGCTGGAGGCACACATGCACAGCTGACCAAATGGTGTCAGTCATTAGGCAGATTGACAAAACTGGAAACATGTGTGGTATCCTGTGTACTCAGATGTTAAGGATAACAAGTTGACAATTTAAAGAGCAGTTTCTGCTGAAAGGTGATGTCCTTTGCGGCTTGGCTTTTATAAAATCCCCTAGACTGCAGCTTGGTCAGGGAAAATGTTAAAACCTTAAGATATTCTATAGTTTACTGTTAACTTCTGGGTATTTATTGACACTTTTATGTGTTTAAACCATTGAAATGCGAGCTGCAGGGTTGAAACTCCCAATGATGTTAGTTGCCAAAGTCAAGCAGGGGCAGGAAGGTAAAGTCTAACATGAAGGAATTTAATGGACATGAAGCGGATCTGGCTGTGATATTTTTAACATATTGAATAGTGATCAATGCGAGTTCTAATTAATATTGATTTTACACAACAAGATCTACAGAGCCGTTAAACATATCTAGTGTAAAATAGATTGGTACGGTAAAGAGTTTTATATTTAACATAAATGTTGCTATATTCTTCCTTTACTTTAAAATAAAAGCTGGATTTTGGTCCCTTTCTTTTGACTGAAAAGGTCTACAGTGATGGGCTGGCTGGCGGTGCAGGTTGTAGCAATGTCTACTTGCAGCAAGAAGGTCCTGGATGCAATTCCCAGCAGAGGGTTCTTCAGTGTAGAGTTTGCATATTCTCCTTGGACATAAGTGGGTTTTCTCAGGGTATTCTAGCTTCCTCCCATAGTCCAAAAAAACATCACTGTTAGCTTGTTTAGCACGTCTAAGTTGGCCTCAGGTGTATTTGCGTGATTTCTTTTTGCCGATGGATGGACGGATGGACGGATGGACGGATGGATGGATGGATGGATGGATGGATGGATGGATGGAGTTTTGCAGTGACTTGGCTTTTGTTGTAAGGCTGAATTATTTTAATGCTTAAATTTGACCCCACTACACTGCAATTTCGGCAACTTTGACTGACATCTGGGCACCCTCACCCAGTTGTCTGTCCTGTGCATTTCTGCACAAATGCTGGTTAAATGGAAAGTTGTCCAAATTATACTGAAATTAAACCAATGCACAGACTTTAGAAAGAGCATAACAGCCAAGGAAACTGTGAAAACATTGACAACCTTATTTGCACATGTATGGGAGAAAAGCTCTGGGAAAGCTTCAAATTACAAGGTTATTTACTTATTTTTGTTCCCAATAAAGCAGCATTGCTGTGCTGGTGCATAGCTGCAGGTGGATTAGAGCAACGTCCCTTAGTCAGTCTGAGAAAAGTCCTAGAAAAAATGAGTGGGCTTAATTAGAAACAAAGATTAACAAAGAAATTGATCAGTGTAGTATAGAATAACCCACCTCTGCTACACTCAAAAAAGCTTGGTGAGAACCCTGCAAACTTAAGGTTTAGTTTTGCTGGAAATTTTTTAGACGATTAGACAGTGAACTTTGGGAACATATGTTTTATTCACATCTAAATTTATCTTTACTGTGTCATTTATGACCCAAACTGGAGGAGGTGGATGACGTTCATTTGTGTGATATTGAGTGTTTCAAAATACTGGAAAACCTCCATGAGCCTGGGTGACCAAGCTGTTTCAAATATACACTCCTACTTAGATCACATATTTGTCAAAACATTTGTTACATAATTGTTTGAATGTAAACAGTTGTGTTCTTGTAAATAATTATGGAATGGACAATAGATTCATTGGTAAAGATGGATTAAAAATACTAATTATTTTGGACAAAATGTCTGAAGGTTGAAAACAGAACAAATGCAGCAAAAGCAGAAAGGGAACCTGGCCAAAAGCTAAAAAACAACAAGTATCTTTGTTGCACAAGAAGAGAAACTTTTTCTTACATGTATTCCTCTAAAATGGGTTGATTTTAAAATCTTTGTGTTCTGATGATGCCCCAAAAGCCCAATTTTCATGTTATTTCCAGAAGTGTCTTGTTCTCCTGAGAATAATTCCAGTAAGAGAGCTCTTGAGAGTCCAAGGCCAATTAGCTCCTCTTTGCAATCCAAACTGTCTGGTCATACCCTCCATGAAAAGTCTCTGTGTTGGAGGTGTGTTTATGGTCCAGCTGCTGCAAAGGCTCATCTGTGGCCCAAGATAATGTGTATTAATGCTGTTTTGGCTATAATCTGACAGTCCTGTTGCTAGGACATCTAGGTACCTTTGCCCCCAAAACTCATCGGGTCCATTACCTGTTTTTTTTGTTCTTCAACATCAATACAGCAATTCCCAGATTTGGTGACATTGCATCATGACGAAAAGCAGTCCATCACAGATGGGGTTTGAGTCTATTTTGTTGTTTTTGAGTTTTTACAGCACTAGTGGCTCGTTTTTATGGACATTAGGCTGACAGGAAAGGGGGTATGAGAAAGGGGGAGAGACATGCGGGGGAGAGACATGCGGGAAAGGACCGCAGGTTGGATTCGACCCCGCCGCCCGCTTCGAGGACTAAGGCCTTCATACATGGGTCGTGTGCGCTGAACACTGCGCCACCAATGCACGTCCTTCAGTCTATTTTTCATAGAGCTCTATGCAGAAAGACCTGATTGAGCTAAACAGGAAGTCATACAGGATCACCTGGTTCAAAACAGGTGAATTCTTGCTTTGTTTGTCTTCAGATGCATGAACAGATCCTAAATTGATCCAGTGTGAATGTCTGAACAGCACAGCTTGCAGCAGATGACTGAGCAGAAGCAGATGATAATCAATGTAAATAAGGGTTTATTTTTTTTGCATCCTGTAGGACTATGTGATATGGGTAAAAAAAAAAAGTGCTACTACATAAACCCTTATACCACCTGATATCATTAATAATGTATTAGTTATTTCTTTGCCTTTAATATGGACCAGGGGAAACGGCTGGAATTGAAGTTAAAACTGTAACTCTATTTTAATATAGCCTCTAAAAATGAGAGGTGGAGATCCTATATCCTTTACTCTGCCTACATCCCCCAGAATGCACAGCAGCTCTTAATCAGAGTTCAGTAAAATTCTAAATCATTCATCAAACATATTTTTATTGATATCATTCAGTTGTTTATCCCCATTTATCTTGTTATTGACCTCCTGCTCAGCAAATACTTCCTCAAACCTTAAACACTAACCTACAGCTCCAGCTTACAGACACCAGCAGGAATTTGAGAAATGTCCAAAGTGTCTCTGAAAATGCAGCTGTTTGTATGTCCAATAAGGGTCTGAGGTCAAAGGTTAAACACTCTAATTAAAAGCAGAGAGGCCAAGTCCTCTCATCCTACTCAGTCCTTTGTATACCTTATTATAGAGGGGAGAAAGAAATGTCCTCCTTGGATGTGGAAGCTGATGGTGTTGTGATTTAAGGAGCTGAAGCTGCAGGACGAGGCAGGCTGTGAATGTTGGTCCTTGCACTTGCTGAACTTCTTCCCAAACTGTAAAAACTTTGCTTGTTTCAGAGACCTGCTTTCAGTGAGTAAAGAACAGGGGCAAGCTGTTTTTTTGTTTTTGTTTTTTTTTTTTTTTTTTATAACAGATAATTTTTAACTATCGTAATAAATCAAATTCTATTCTTTTATTTTATTAGTATTTTGATTAGTCTGTCAAAAATGTAAAATCTTTGTTTTAGAGTCTATTTTAATGTAACCTTTAAAAATGAGAAATCTGTAAATCTCTAAATATATGAAACACTAATACATGCATGTTCATGTGCAGGGCTGACGTCTTTCAAGTAGATGTCAGCCCTATATCTACAAGCTAGATAGCCATTTATTTTAAATGGTTTTATTTCAAAACCTAAAGCATAACTACGAGGGTCATTTCTTGCTTTCTGTGCTACCACAGAGCAGTTTTGGTTTTCTGTCAGCCCATCCCTCCCTAACTAGGATTCCACCAGAAACTTCTTGTCTGCTGGGTTTTTCCTCTTTCCCTCCCCTCTGTTCTGCTCTTCTTCCCCTCACTCTTTTGGGGAAAAAGCTGCTTCCTGCCCCCCTTTGTTCATCTGGCACTTTGAAAAGAAACTCTTGGAAAGATTAGTGGGATCCAGCGCCAGCATAGAGATCTGAACAGAGGTGAGAGTCAGATCCGAGCTCGGAGGAGAGGGGAAGTGATGCCTGTTTCACGCTGCTTATGATGTGTAATGAGACCCATACTTAATAGCTCTGTCAGCAACCTGGGATAGCGCAGAAGATGCTGTGTAGGAGCCTGACCACTGCAAGCAGAGCTAGCATGGGGATTTCATAAGTCCTTGCAAGATGGCCTAAAGTTATAGATATAAAGAATAAAAGCTATTTTTGTCAGTTTATTATTGTATATTATTTTGAGCTGAACACAGAGTTGAAATAATAAGATAAGATGTCAAATGGAAAAAAAATAAAATACATTTTGAGCTATTTTAAATGTGTTTGCATATCATTAGTGTATTTAGGATCCAACTGAAACATTTAGCAGCAATTAGCAAAGCAAATGAGTGGCCTCTGGCTGCCTTTCACAGTTCAGTATCTGTTTTCCTGCTAGATTAGTTTATCTGTCGGGCTGATCCTTGTTTGATTTGAAAACGGTTCGCCTCTTGGTCGTGCTGTCTTCCTGCTTGTTGTTGTTTTCCTGTAATCTGGCGAGCATTGTGTGCTCATAGTAAATGTGTGTCTCTGCATGTCCAGATAAGACGGTCTGACTAGCTTAGGATTGACCGTTTTGCCTACTGACCTTGCAGAAAGAAGTGAATGAAAGAAGGATTTGGTGTAGTTAATCTGCTGGCTTAACCACATGCGCTGATAGTCACAAAGCAAATACACACCCTGTTACTTCATCCTGGTTCTGTGACTGTTCATGTGGCTACTTAATCATCCTTATGCTCGTCTGAATGTCTCATCTCGAACGCTTAGCTATGTATGCTCAGCAATTTCTTAAGTC